ATTCTCCTTTTGTTTTGGATGGGAATACCACATGTGTTATGGTTTGGAAGTTTTTATGTGCAATTAGAGCCCCGAGGACTACAACAACATAACCACACTGAATTCACCTAATCGGACTGAAAGAAAACTTCAGTTTTCCTTCATTCTGCGAAATGGTTTGTGTCCTTTTGTATGTCTGTGTGCATGTGCATGTGCATATAAAAAAAAAAAAATTTTCTTCTTCATCCTGTGTTAAAATATGAGAAACCCCTATTTTAATTTAAATTTTACATATAACTGGGTGTTCTGAATTAATCTCAAAACAACTGTTGAAGTGCATGTAAATACAAATCTATCCTTCTGAACCCAGAACTCTTTTCTTGCATTTTTTTTGTTATCACTTATAATGCTAACATAGAATCATAGAATAATAGAATCGTTAGGGTTGGAAAGGACCTTAAGATCATCTAGTTCCAACCCCCCTGCGATGGGCAGGGACACGGATATGTTATTGATTCCCTGTCTTTACAGTGCATTGGATAACCTTTTTAGATACCCAAACCATACATATCAGAACCACTCTCTTTGCCGTAGAAATAAATACTGATTTTTCTTTCAGGAATACAGAACATGAGTACAGGAGAACATGAAAATCTTCACAAGATCATATCACTGTAAGTTGATTAGCAAAAATAACCACATGGAGATGTTTACAGTACTTAAATGTGGTTTTAAATGTGTTTATAAACTCATATAGAGAAAAGGAAAAAGCTGGGAAAAGCAATATGCAAGTCTAAAATACTTATGAAATTATCAACTTCTGTTTAGACATTTTGGGGGGAACAGAGACGGGGAAAGAAGTTTTTCATTTCCCTTCTATAAAGCCCATTAAGGTATGTTAGAAAATACTGCACTGACATTTCTACATGGCCAGTGGCTCACGAGCTGTTCATGGTCCCTTGCTTGGGGTGGCACTGGCCATTCCTAGCCCGAAAGTTTCTTAGTGTATTTGTGTCAATTCTGCTTGAACAAGCAGGCCCATTTTCTCTGTTCCCACAGAATTTGTACTGTCATAAGTGCTAATGAGATGGAATCTAGAAAAGTCAAAGAAATGCCACTAACTGCTTTTCTCTGATTTTATGACTTCTGCCCAGAAAGTAAGCTAAGAATTCCAAATCCAGCCAAAGTTATGTTCCTAAGTCCTGTTTCAGCACCTAAGCTTCTATCAGAGCCCATGAGCAGGGCACATAGAGAAGATATAAGAGCTCAATGTATCCTTGGGAGTCTGACATTTCTTTCAGGAAAGCAGAAATAGAGACTCTGAGCACCTTTTCTTCTATGCCCTCTTTTGCCAAGGAGTCCCACCCTATATGCTAATAATATACCTTGAACCATCTGGTATCAAAATTTCACCAGTGGCAGCCGCCCTCCTGCTAAAGCTATTCCATTTTGCAAGGACACACTTTTTTTTTCTCCTGCGCAAAGACTGAGACTGAATGTCTCTAACCGTGTCATCAGTAAGTCTGTTTCTGAGAGACTATACCCTTTGTTTCCCTATGAGGACTTAATTGTACAGTGAGACACTAAGAGCAGCTGAAACCTTGAGGTTTGGAGAGTCCTTTCACAGCATAGAGGAGATCATCTTATTGCAAAAGTACTGAAAAAATGTTGAGATACCACAGTCCTCCTCTGTTCCAAATGTCTGCAGACATGGACAGTTCTGTGCATGCCTAGAAACTCCCTTATGGAAAAATTTAATGACAGAAAATTAAATATTGATAGGATCAGATAGAAATTAGAGTGAAATATTGAAGATCAGGAAGACTCCAAGAAATTCCTGTCTGTCTTACCTAGACATCTGAGATAACTGCAAGTATGCAAGGTTTATGTCTTACTGAGCCGCCGTTGTCCTTTCTCCAGGTTTGTGCTGACCACTCTTGGCAAGCCAAGCATTTCTCTACACTCTTGTTAACTCTCAGATTGATACTTTTGTCTAAAATTACATTCTAGTGACATCTGAGGCGCACATAAAGCTGACAGAGAGAACAGAGGACTCCTTTTGAGATTTCCTGGCTTGGCATCCAAAGGCAAAACAGGTATCCTAGGAGATTTCAACTGGTCTTGTGTTTCAATAACCTATCTAAACCCTGAATGAGATTTAATCCACATATAGGTACTCCAGAGGCATACACCTAAATTTTCGGTTCAGTTGGTGACAGCGAATCTTACTCAAGAGTCACAGACCCTGAATCTGGGACACAACCGGGTGGACTCTCTTGAGAACCACCAAAGAGTCTCTTCTTCCCTTACAGCAGTTGCTTATGGATTCAGCAGCTACAAGCAGGAGAGAATAAAATTCCAGAAGAAGATACCTGAAAGCAGATTCCCTACCCAGAATACAAGAACAAAGTGGTAATGGCAGTGGTTATTAAGGTTTTGCATCAAATCAATTATCTTGTTTGGTTTAGATGTTTTGTAACCAGCATTGCCTGTGATTTCACATGTATAGCCTGAAAATCTGTGTAATCATAATGTATATTAAAACAAGGTTTACTGGTGAAGGCTTAACCTTGTAAACAAGCCTTGTTTACACAAAAAGACAATTGGACTACTGTTTTGTTTCAAAGTTTACATGGTCAGAGGCTGAGATCATTATTTTTAAAATGTGATGATAGGAAGATACAGTAAGTACCCTTGCGAAGATTTTACAATGAATCCTGTAAATAAAGCCCACAACACAAATGCATAGTGTCTGCAAAGAAACAACTATCATGTATTGTGTTAGAATAATGAATCGCAATGTTTTATCATCATCTGTTTACATAAAAAGTCATAATAGCATTTCAAAATATGGTGTATGCATTTTTATGATTGCCTTAAGTGCACAGACGGGAATTGCCACAGCCTAGCATCATAAACTTTGTAAACCTTTCTTGGAGACTGCTTTTTCATCCCCATCCTCTTCTGCTCAAACAAAAATGTGGAGGAAACAGAACACACAAATAAAACTGCATTAAAATAGTCCTGCGTCTGACTAAAACAAAAGACAGGAAATTCTTAAAAGTATGGTTATAAACTAAAAAATGCATATAAACAGGGCTTCCTAGTGTACTACATTTATGTATTCATAATTATTTCACTATCAATATTCTCATTGTTTATAAATATATACAAATGGTATTGGTCTAACTGCCAAGACCACATTCTTAGTCTGAGATTTAGAACAGAAGCCCTGCTGCTTCTGGCTTCTATTTCATCATTAAAGATGGAAGTGAATGAAGTCTCTAGATTTCAGCTCCTGGAAGCTTTATGATTTAAGCATATTTCTAATCTTCAGCCATATTCTGATGTGGATACTGAGGTCCAGATTCTGTTTTCAGGAATTACATGGTAAATCTCAATGATCTTCAAAAATGTCAGGAGGACAGAAGGTACTACAACTGCAGCAAAAATTCTCAGCAGTTTCCAAATGCTCCAACAAGGGACCTTGTTGCCTACAGGAAGGTCAAGAGCGACTCGTAGATCCATGCAATGAAATATCTGCCTAGATTTCAGGCATCTAGCCCACAAATTAGAATCCTAACCCAAGATTAAATATCTGCTATGGAAAACACAGCTTAAGTATCTGAGGTCACTGACTCAAAGGAAAAGACCAAACACTGCAGAGGCATCTAACCCTAACTCACAATAGTGAAATTCAAATAATGTCACCTTATGGAGTTTGGGCACTCAGTGTCACAACTGAAAACTATGGTTGTTCGAATACACAGGACATTCAGCTGTTCTCCAAAGGTTCAAGCTTTTTGTAAAACTGACTAAGATAATATGGTAACAATGCTACATAGGATTATTCCAAGTTCTACAATTTAATGAAAAACAGATATTAAAGGTTTCTGGGGCAAAAACAAAGGCTAGAAAACAGCTTGCTCCATACAGTTTCTTTCTTATCTGTCTCCACAAATCTTAACAATTTTTGCAGCTGCAGTGCACACCACCTGCCCAACTATATAGGCTAGGCTGGGACCCTGGGGTAAACTGTTTACTCAGAAATGAGAGGTTTAAATGCCCGAGATCAAAGTCAATATTTAACAAACAAATAAACAAACAAACAAGTCTACCTCTGAAACATTCCCAGCTTTATTGGAACATATTCATAGAATAGTTTGGGTTGGAAGGGACCTCCAAAGGTCATCTAATCCAACCCCCCTGACATGAGCAGAAAACATCTTTCATCAGATCTGGTTGTTGAAAGCCCTTTTTGTCCTTACTTTAAACACTTCCTATAATGAGGCATCCACAAATTCTCTGGACCTGTTCCAGTGCCTCACCACACCCATTGTAAAACTTTTTTTCCTTATATCCAATCTAAATCTACCACCTTTCAGATTAAAAACATTGTCCCTTGTCCTGTCACTACAGGGCAACTCTTTTTCCATCTTTTTTACAGTCCCTTTTTATATATTGAAAGGTAGCAACAAGATCTCCCCAGAGCCTTCCATTCTCCAGGCTGTACTACCCCAACTCTCTCAGCCTATTAGATTATGTGGGTCTGACCACACTTCCCAGGTCTCAGCTATAAACAAGGCACCTCACTTATCTTCAGGATCCCCAGAGTGCTTAAATTAGATGGCTCTACCTGCCTGGCTAGCCTTTCTGAGAATGGCCAGAATATCACATACCCTGGAGAAGCTTCAGACAAACAGGGAAATCAATTATTTTTAAATGACACTGAGGTCAGACAGCAAATGAATGCAAGGTTTTGAAGTCACCATTTCGATGTGGCACTTGAAACCTAGCCGTGTTCTATTTTAGTTAAGTAGTTTTATTGACCCTAATCTGTCGCTGACTTGTGAAATGTAAAAGTATGCAGATAGGTCTCCCATGTCTGATACTGCTTCTGCATTGCTTATGAAGAAGTTCCAAAACAGTGTTCTTTTTTCATTGCTGTCATGTGGAATACTTCTGAATTTTTTGTGGATTTTTTATTTTTTTTTTCCAGAAAGACTTTCTGACATGTATCATTCTCTTTAAAGTTTATTAATGTATTTCTCATGCAGTTGCATTCTTAAGGCAAAAAGATCAAAAGAATGGGTAGGTTCAGAGCACAAGCTATAAACTAGTTAGATTTCAAGATGATTGACAATACTTGAATCCTGTTCTGACAAACTGTACAAATGACTAAAGAAGAAAGATTCTTCAGTCAACTCTTTTAAACAAATTTCTACCACAGGACTAGACATATCCTTTGGCAAAGGGCAGGGCTTGGGCTCTGCACAGCTATACAGCCACCATCATGTCTCACAAAGTAAAGGCTTATACACCACCCTGAACACAGCTTCTTTTTCTTCCCTGCAGTAAATCCAGGTGCATGGCTCTACAAATAGTCTTTTATCCCAATTCAGTTTCAGTCTAGTAAGCTTCTCTGTGGATCCTTTCTGCCAGCCATATAATCCTGATAATTGACCAGCTCAGTTAATCTAGGCAACAGAAGTACCAGTCATGCCCATGTCAGTGAAATCTGTGCACAGCACTGAAACACATAATTTATATTTCCTATATGATGGTAACTTTCTTGATACAGAGCTTCCTTTTACTTAATTATTAAAAGCTGTATAATGTGTCAAGACACACAGCAGTTCATAAGTAAACCATTTTTTGGCCAGCACTTACTCAGATACTTGCAGAGCATCCAATTTATACATGAAAAAGAACTGGTTTGTCTTTTTAGGTCAATGAGCTGATCATTTAACCTGCCAAGATCTTTCACAATGGTAAATTTCATTTTCTTGTGGGAAAAGAAAAAAAAAAAAGCAATCACAAAAACTAGAATCCCTCATCAATTTAATTCTGAGTGTGTCATTCTGTAGTATTCGATATGGTGGTTCAAAAGGTTATGCAGCTCTTACCATTCAGTATTTAAACCTACAGTGCTTTTTAATAATTTCTGTAGGATACTTTCAGTTTCATGCTTCTTACAATGTGTTAATCTTACCTTTAAGCTCTAGCTCTCTTGCAGCATATAGGTCTTTCCTGGCAACATCAAAGCAAGACAATAACTGTCTTTAATGTCAAAATATTTTCCCCATGGAAATTTACCCAAATATTCATTTCCTCTCTATTCTTGGTATTTACATGCATCACATATTTGAAGACAGTTATCATGTTCTTTTGTATGCATCACTTAGTTGACTTGAGTATACATATTTTGCTCCCTTAATCTTTCTTTATAAATCAGTTTCTCTACACTCCTTAATCATGCATATTAGCCCTCTTTGAATGGTCTCCAATATAAAAAACCTTTTGTTCATTCTTCCTGATCCTTTGCTTTAAGAAGTTAATAATTTTAAATTTATTTAGGCTCATGAGGGAAATGTCAAGAAAATATAACAACATTTTATATAAACAACAATAATTACTATTAATAATATTTCATGCTTTCCTGCAAGTTTTAGTATATAGCAAACATACACAAATAAAACTGATGTATATCAAAAGCTGAATTTTCATAGTGCAACACAATGTAACTTCACTAAAATTCAGGATGGTGTTTATTTCACCTAACATTCAGATTCTCCCCAACTAGCATGTTTTAAATTGCTACCTCAGAATGAGAAGAATCACAGGGTTGACTACAGTGGCTATGAAGACAGTCTAAACATTCAGAACCCAACATTCAGAACATGAATGTATACTATCAGAGGTCTACATACAAAGATTTTTGTATCTAGTCAGAGGAATCCCCGCCGTGTCATCTTCACACCACATTTCTTGAGAGGACCAAAGGAAGTTCACTACTTTATAACATAAAATAGTTCTTCCTCCAAATCAGGCTGTATTTATCTGGGGATCTTCCAGGGTTTTTGGTGTCAGATGCTTGCAGCCCAGAAAGGCAACTGTATCCTGGGCTGTATCAAAAGGAGCGTGACCAGCAGGTCGAAGGAGGTGATCCTCCCCCTCTACTCTGCTTCCGTGAGACCTCACCTGGAGTATTGTGTGCAGTCCTGGTGTCCTCAACATAAAAAGGACATGGAACTGTTGGAACAAGTCCAGAGAAGGGTCACGAGGATGATCAGGGGACTGGAGCACCTCCCATATGAAGATAGGCTGAGAAAGCTGGGGCTGTTCAGCCTGGAGAAGAGAAGGCTGCGTGAGACCTCATAGCAGCCTTCCAGTATCTGAAGGGGGCTTACAGGGATGCTGGGGAGGCACTCTTCATTAGGGACTGTAGTGACAGGACAAGGGGTAATGGGTTAAAACTTAAACAGGGGAAGTTTAGATTGGATATAAGGAGGAAATTCTTTCCTGTTCAGGTGGTGAGGCACTGGAATGGGTTGCCCAGGGAGGTTGTGAATGCTCCATCCCTGGCAGTGTTCAAGACCAGGTTGGATGAGGCCTTGGGTGAGACGGTTTAGTGTGAGGTGTCCCTGCCCAAGGCAGGGGGGCTGGAACTTGATGATCTTAAGGTCCCTTCCAACCCTAACTATTCTATGATTCTATGATTCTGTGCATCTCTGTGTCTAACTGCAGTCTAGACAATGCAGAGATGGGAAAGTACTCAGTAATTAGATATCAAGACCCCCAAGGCTAGATCATTCTCTCAAGGAACAGAGTACTTGAGAAGTTAGCATCAGAGTCAGAATTTACACACAATATAATTACAGGGTTAAGGTAAAATTAAGACACTGCCTTTGGGAAAGTCTGTTTCTTAATTGGAAGAAAGATGATTAAACCTGCCACGTGAGATACTTTTGATAAATCGAAGGTCTTAAGAGGATGGGAATTATAAATACTTGTTCATTTTCTTAACTCCTAAAGAAGACCCAGTAAACTGATAAATTTCTTGTAAAAAGCACCATGATCAAAAAACTGCAGGTTTTAATCAGTTCCTCCAAAAATATTAAAATAGGCTTTCCTTCTTAAGATAACACATTGTTCCTTAGGGAAATATTTACCTCCCAGAAGCTTCTGTCAAACATTTTTTTTCTTAACCAGCAAGCATGAAAATTCTAATTGGAAGTGATCCACAAAACATTTACAGATGTCTTGTAATGAGTGAACGAATGTTCACTGTCTCCAATTAGCAGAGCCACCTCATTCCAACCTCAGCAGTTTGGAAGAGGCTTCTCTACAGGGCTGTGCTCTTGGAAGCACAGAGACACTGGAAAAGTCACCACATGACCACAAGACTCAAGAAGTAATGCTACCTCATCTGTGCAGCTCAGGGTCAGTGCAGCACTTCCTTGGAAGAGCTTCTGAAAGATCACTGAGCTTCTGAGAGAACTGCAGCAACGTAGTGAAAGACACTCAAGTCATGCCTGTGAACAGCAGGGAATAAGCTCAGCACAGGCTGGTAGGCCTTATTTTCCTCGTAAAGTATTTTCCTACAAGAAAAAGGTTTTTTCCCCTCAACACTGTAAGACTATGAATTCTGCACATGATAAAGCAATCGGCAGTGCAACATAGTTCAGGATTCAGTCAGATGTTTGTATACATAATATGTGGGTTTCCCTATTACTTCTGTTGGATCTAAAATTAGTCCACTATTCTAACAACTGTGACAATCAGCAATCTATCTCTATATGTAAGATACTGCCTTTATCTTCTTTCTTTTCTTTTGTAACCTGTGAACCTGTTTATGTAATAAATGACAGCAAGCCAGACCACTTAATTAAAACAAAATGCATTCGGTGTTTTTAAGTCTTTCATAAATAGAATAAACATAACATTTTGAAATATAAGTTTGTGCTCCTTTTCCATTTCTGTTTTAAGACTAAAGAAATAGTGCAGAAAGATTGGAAACCCAAGAAATAAAAAATGATAATGCTCAAATATACATGAGACCAAAAAAATTCAGGAAGTTTCACAAGCACATTCCTGCTCTTATAAAAATAAAGTGTTATGGAAAAAAAAAGTCAGAGAAACATAACCTGCTATATATATTTCCCCTTTTATTTTACTATTTTCTATCTTAAAATCAGGATCTTTACATTAACCACATGTCTTTAAATTGTGTCCTATACATTTGGTTTGCAATATTTTTTCTCCCACAGTTTTGGAGCTGAACAATTTTTCACCATATCAGCTGGTTTCAGGCGAATCCTCAGTTTGAAATACTTTAAAGACACTCAATTTCTCTCCTACATTATTTAATCTGCAGTTTTGTTCTTTCTTTTAGTGTCATAGCAAGAGCTATGCTCTCCTGGTGCTGATCACCTTTAGGGATAGATATGTGACCAATTTTGAAGTGTCCTTTGTGCCAGCATACAAAATGTCCTACACTAGGTGTGCTGCTCCATGCAGTAAATCTGGGTTTGTACTAACCCACTGAACAACTTAATTTCATCTGTCACTATTTGAACAAGAGACCGTTTCAGACTCTATTTATGGTTTTGACAAGCCAAAGAATTATATCAAGGGTAGCCTGTGAATATTAGAATATACAAGCAAGTTTGTAAAAAAACTTTATTTTCCATTATCTCTGCAGTGACAACACACAGGAATTAAAAACAAAACAAAACAAAAAAACAAACAAAAAAACCAACAAAACAAAACAAAATCAAACCGCAAACATGGCATTCAAATAGTTTTAATAAAGAGAATAAATGGACCCTCAGAGTCAGGAATTGGTTTTCTTTGCTTTCCTGCAAGAATACGGAATTGAATATGAAAAGCAAACTGTTTAAACAGTTTTTAATTATTATCATAAATGCAAATCATTATTGCAAAAATAGAGGTAGACTTTGCTTCCGAACAGGGCATAGCTAGCAATTTACAGCTGGAGCTACATTGTAGCATACCATAGCAATGCATACTACAGTAAAGAGGGTATAAAGTGAGCTAAAAATACATGTTGAACATACATCAACTATACTCAGAATTTCATTACACCTAATTCTAAGCATTCAAGAGCAGTAAATGGTTAGCAGTGATGCAGAAGAAATATTAGAAAAGCAATCACAAAGGATTAATAGAGATTTAAAGAAAATAAATAAATAAATAAATTACAGGCTAACTACCAGATAAGAGCAAAATAAAGACATTACAGAAGATTATGAAATCACGGAAAATGCTTTCAAAAATATAAGAACAAAAGGTGGGTGATAAACAAAGAAATGCCTAAAGAGTATCACTTTTTAAGAGATGAGGCAGAAAGTGCTGGAAAATTTAAATAAATTCTTCATATATCTTATCAAGGAGAAAAATTATAGGCAGATGGCAGACTTATATAGGTATACCTTTCAAAAGGCAGAGAGAATGAAAAAACACTAACGTAAACAGAGAATCTATCTGAAATATTACAGGGTGACAATCTTAGCATGTATCAAATGAAATAGTGTTAAGGCATATCCATTTCAGAATTCACAGAAAGGGACAAAACCACAGCACTCTTCATACAAGTAATTTAAATCACTTCACTGCACAAATAACTTTTATCATATGCAAGACGTTACTTTGAAATCAACTGGGCGGTTCACATGAGTAACAGCAATGGGACTATGGAGAAAAGGAATTTTTAGTGGATTAAAAAAAACTACTGCAGGAAAGGCCTGGTGTAACCCTTCTCAAAGCATGCCTCTGAAGAAGCAAAGACTGTATTCAACTGTTTCTTTCTGGCACATTTTAGTGATATCCTTTTGCTTAGGAAATCAATTTTCTTCAAGCCCAAACAGAAATACATGTTTATAGGAGAGAGGTGTTACAAAAGCAATAGAGCATAACTAACTTCAGCAAATTATGAAGCAATGGCAATTCTAGTGAGAGTGAGAAAATCTACTAATGAAAAACAGAAGTCTCAGCTCTGAAGAAAAATTCTGAACTCTGGTAGCCTGGATTTGAGTTTAAACTCCTACAAGTACTATTCTACATTAAAGGCAACCATCTGTCATGTTTTTAGCTACATCTATAAGGGAGCCCAGTAACTTCAGTCTAAAAATTCAAAACACAGACACATATTTTCAGCCAAAGCAAAGCCAGAGCCAGCAGTAATTTTAATTCTTTTCACTAAATATTTTTTTGGCCATGAGAATATATGTAAGATTGATGTGGTTGCAGCCACAATAGCCCAGGAATATATAGGGTTTATAAGGCAAACAAGTTGCTAAGGAAGAGTTTGCATTCCTAAAAGATTGTGTTTTCTTCCAGTTGTAGCATTTGCTGTAGCAAAAGTATTTTTCTCTCCTTCCTGATCTTACTTTTCCCTAAAAATCTTAGGTTGGAAAGCAACAAGACAGCTCTGAAGTCTTTCATGAAAAAGTTCAATCAGTGTGTGAAACTAGAGCAATTCACCTCTGGAGCCCTGAGAAGGAGATAGGAGTTCTGGAAATGCCACCCTGCTCCGCACCTCTGCAGGAGCCCTGATTTCTCTTGGCCTAAGCACGAGTTTCAGATCCACCTTCTAGCTGAAGCCAGACCAGGAAAGGCACATGGATATTTCTTTCTGCTTGTTGCCTGAAAGCCTCTGGAGAGAAGACAGTCATATTGGCTGTACCTCTGCACCTATGGAAAGATGCTGAAAGAGGCTGTCTGGAAAGTACCTTCATGCTAGAAGGTGGTAAACTGTCTTGGGTTTTTTGATTTCACCTTTGTTCAAAGAAACAGGGCTTTAAACTTTCTTATAAACAGAGTTGCCTCAAAGAGAGATGACTCCACCATCAGTCTTTCCACCTGAGGAGTAATCCCCCCAGACTTTTAAACACACAACTGCAAAAGAGCAGTCGAAAAACAAAGGGTAAGGCAGTGATTACAAGTAACTACTAAGTTTTTAACTGTACAGAAGGTCTGCCAGCCTACAGGTCAGTTTTAACTGAAAAATAGACTGTTTTCCAGAGTAAATTTCTCTGTATCTCACCCACTGCAGCCAATTCATTTTATACAAACAACTAATGGAGCAGGAAGTTAATTACGTACCATAGCTTGACAATTCACATGACCAAGAGACCGCTTGGCTTTTTTTCCTAGGTACAAACAACATTTTTGTCCCTGTAGAAGGTTACAACTTCCACACAGGTACAGAAAGATATCCTCAGAATTCATTGTTTTGGGGAGAGTGAGGAGAAATAAATATTTGAGTATAATTCACCAAAACTTTATGCGAATTCTGTCATGACTGGGCTGTGAGACTACTAGCTCTTCCTCCTCTTCTTCTTTCACTAAAATGTTAGTGAAATTTGCTTCACCCCACCCCATGTTATACACCCCCTCATTGCTATCTAGTTGTCTGTTATTTAACACAATAGTTTCTGCTAGAATTCACTTACAGTTTGGTTTTGGGTTCCTTTAATTTTCTGAAAACCTAAGAAGATATAATTTCAGATTAAGTGTAAATAGTTTATGCAACTCTAAATGAACTGAAAAAGAAAAATGCTTTCTAGAGAGCTAACCTCTTCTGTACCATGCCCCTTCCTTCATCTTAATCTTCCTGCTCTACTGCAAGATTTTAGTGAAAACACTATTAATATAAAATGAGTATATTGCATAAAGAACAGAGGTAAAAATTTGTTCAATTAGAAAGCTACTTCTTAACCCACACATTACTGTAGCTCTTCATGAACTCTTCATCCTATGTTGAAAGGGAAGGTTGAAACTGGGAGATAGGTTGCATTTGTTAGTGGGTATTTGTGATCTTTCCATTAGTTTAAAAGCTTTCTATCTGCCTAATTATAGCAAATTAGTACCATTTGGGGGACACAGCAGAAAAACTGTGATTTTCTCTCTCACCCAATGGTCACATAGTTCGTGGAGACCAAAGTCTAGAAGGATGTCTGTGATTGTGACCCATTCTCATTATCTGTTTCCATCCTAAGTAACATCAGCACAGAGTTTTATATTATGTGAATGAATATTTAAAGTGAAATTATAGCTTCCAGTGGCAAATTACAACTAGATGTGACCAAGAGAGGATTAAGCCCATCATTTTGCGTAAGAGCTCAGATGGTTGGAGTAATTGGATGATAGCTGTAGGGCATCTTTTTGGTCTATAATTAGTTCATTTCTTTCTCATCCCCTCATTGTGTGTATAATTACAAATTAATTTGAAATCCCACTGTGAGTAAAGAAAATCTGTTTAATATAATGGAAGTGCAAAAGCCACAGGATATTATTTTTTGAAAGGCTTTTAGTGTTTATACCAAAATACTAAGTCTGGCCCAAAGTCACATCTACACAGACTGCCAGGCTCATATTTGGTTTCTTTCTTAACTTTTATATGGAAACAGATAAAAGTTCTCCCTTAAAATAAATGATGTTTCATGACTGCACTCTGCTCCAGCATTTGTCAGCAGGTGTCAACAGCACAAAAATTTGGGGAAAAAACTGAAAGCCATCATAAGGGTTTTTATAGACAACAGTATTGTCAGAGGACTTACAGACAGCTCTAAACAAGGTGATGTAGGCAACTATTTTATTCTTCAGTCCTTCCATTATTTGATTGCCATCTAAAATATATTTTTCTGTTTTCACCCTGAACCCCTGAAAGTGTTAAGTGTTGCACCCTGCTCCTGTGTGCTGCAGGAGCTCACCCGTTTCATCTCCTGGCTGAGGTATGCTGCTGGCAAGTTCTGCTTTCCTTCCTTTATCACAATGATGTGGTCGGATGCATTAGACCTCCTGCCTTCCTTAATGCTGATACAGGTAAAAACATGCACTCCTGACAAATGGATAACCCCAACCAGATCCACAGAAGCAATGTTTTGACTTGCTGAACTTCCTGTTTCACTCAAGGGACAAACACATTTTTATCTCTCCCCAGAAATCTTGAAAGAGGTCGGCGAGAGTGTCCCAGGTGTGATCTGAGCACTGGGGATGTCAATAGTGAGCCGGGGGCCACGTGGGGTGTGCAGTTAGGGGGAAGAGTAGAAGAAAAGACCGTCAGTGCAGAGAACAAGGGTAGTGAGATTTGATCATATCTGTAGATGTGTTGCAAAAAGTGTAGAACATCCCATGCCTTTAGCACGATAAGATTAGACTTCTGGCAGAAAAGAAAGAAAAAAATAAAAGGGGAGGTGGGGTATGGAGGGGGAAGGAAGGAACTGCTTAGATATAAGTTCCAAAGATCATTAAGAGGGTTCTTTGTTGCATAGCTCCAACACTAAGATGTGCTGGGGCATGTAGTAAAATAAGGAGGTGTTAAAAAGCTACCAAGCTTCTTAGTTTTCAAAATCAGTTCAAAGTCCTAGTCTTGGATTATTCACATTGTGACCTCCAGGCCTATTTGAGATGCCATAAAATCTGTATTCAGGAAGGAAGGAAGAAATCATCAAAAAGGAAAGGACTTTTTAATTTAGTAATTTCTCAATGGCAATAATATTTTTCTTTCAAATAAAACCTTTCATTTGAAGAGCTCAAAATATTTTCTAGATTAAAAAAAAAAAAATAGAACTCAGCAACACAGGAAAAAACTGGAGCAACCAGCCAGAAAGAAGAGCTAGAGACTTATCACTCATAGGAAAGATATAAGACAATAGGGTAACCTAGTCTACTCATCCCAGAAAAAAGAAATAGACATGCTAATAGGATATATTCATCATGGTGTTTCTGTAGTGGTAATGTCACTCTGTAATTTTTGAAATGGAGGTACTTTAAAATTCCCTGATAAAACTGAATAGGAGGAACATTTATTTTAAAATTTTCATTAGATTTTTTAATTAAAAAAACAATATTTTTTTTGCTAAACCTAATTTTCTAGAAAATTTTCAACTTCCTCTATGTAGCCTGTAGACCAGAAGGTGCAAATGAGGTTGTATGGAAAACAAATAATATGTAGAGGACAGAATTATCTGCTCCAATTATATTTTTTCTGGCTGTTATAACATTATATTAATTAAAAATAGATTTTATGTCTTCCATACAAATACTATACCTGAGTGATTAGTCTTCTATAGGAAATATCTACCATACAGATCTACTACTTATAGGTATTCACTTACCCTGTTATGACATTTAGAAGTGAATTATTCTGATTAGCTGGAGGCTATCAGTGATAGTTCTTATACAAAAATAAATGCAAGGGCCAAAATAGACTAATTATTGGGTTGTTTAAACTCAATTTCTTAAGATTTATTAATCTCTCTAAACCACAATTAAAAAATTGGTGGTCTCAAATTAGCTTCTAGATAATAGATTTTAAGTTATGTGAGTCGTGAATAACTCATTCCACTCTAAGCCTTTACAACTCTTTGCTATGCAAATAATTAATGGCATTTTATTTATACCAGATCAGCGGGAAATTTAAAACCATAATATGATATTTTTCTTCTTTTCTTATTATTCTCTATGCCTTAATGCTATCAACAGCAAATACTCCATTGATATATGCATTTATAAGATAGAAAACCACTCATCCCTACTGTAAAGTTGCCCTATAATCATTCGTCTGTTGAGGAATATATTAAATGCACTTAGAGCAAATAAATCCTGCTCACAGTTTGCCCACACTCCACCCTTCAGGATGCTACCAGAGTGGAGCAACATTCACCTCAAACCTCAAAGCCACTTGAATAAAACCTTGGTTTGATGTGTTCTTGACCCTCAGTCCATGCTTACAACAGTTCATGAATGCAGCTTAAGGTTTTGTGCACATCTGGGAAATCTGGTCTCTCAACCCTTAAAGTTTCCCAGATGGTATTCTTCCCACTTCCTTCCACCTTTGCTTGATTCAGATGCCTGGGGAAAAATGATGATGATGGCAATTTAGAAATATAGTTCCTAAAAATGTTCTTATGTGGTAAGGAGTAAGGATATTACAAAAAAAAAAGAGCTGAATCAAGGATGGTGATTCCACTTGCAGCAAATATGAAACATGTTAGATTCCTTTGTGTTCCACAGTAGACTTAAAAAACCTTATGAACATTTTTCCTAAAATACAAGATTGTGGTAGGTATCTGTTTTCTTTTCAACACCTAATATAAGTGAAAGAAGGAGGTCTAAAACTGTGGGAGGCCCAGCTACAGGTCCCTGATCTGTTTGGTATTAATACATTAATATCTGCTTGATATTAATTCAGTGTATATCTGAACCAGGTTTTTTTTTCTATTCATGGCACTGCCCTAACCACCCACCATAAATCCTGGGCATTGATCCTTGCTTCAGTGGCATCCCCTTCTCAGAACTATTTTATTTTTGACACGCTACTTTCCCAGCCACTCTCTCTGTGCTGTTCTAAGGCAGATTTTTTACAGTGTGTTCTAAGGCACATTTTCTACATGGAGTTTCAAGAAACTATTCAAAGAATTAAACCAGATTTTAAGAGAGTAAAAGTGATTTTCCAACTTACAAGTCATGATAGTCACCTCTGTGGTGGTATCCTGGAGCCTCAGTAAAAGTTTGATTCCTTAGTCAGGAATGGAACAGAATTTACTGATCTAGCACTAAAGATGCTAAAGGTCCTACCACTTTCCTAGTGTGTTTAAACACACATTGGCATAGCTGGCTGAATTCTCCATCCCGGAGCTGCTCTAACCTTCTGTCAGTGGGTACAGCTTTTCCTCCTGTTTGAATTCTGATGGAGATTTTCTCCTCTGCTTTTCCTTCAAGCATCTGAAATTCAATATTTTTCATTGGTTTATGTAGTAATTTCCTGTTAGAGTATTTTTGGTTCAGTTTTACATTTCATTAGAGAATGTTATTCTTTTTCATTAAGATTTCTTTTTTTTTTTTTGCCATGGGCCCCTTAACCTATTCATCTATACCAGCAACAAAAAGGAGGAGACCCTCTCCTTGTGTAATATTCTTGCGGGTGGTAAAAAGGCAAATTGTATGTGAACCCTCATTACTCCTTACAGAAAGAAGAGCCTCTGCTTGTTCCTGCACCTTGTAGCTGTGTACGAGTGCAGTCGACACCAAGAACCAATATATATTTAGTAAGGCTAATTTCATATAAAATGAATCTAATTTCAGATAAAGCTATTATTCTTGATTATTTCCTCCAAGATTAATGTTCAATCTTTTCTCTGAGGTAAAATTTTAGGTATATTGTGCTATGACGTAGTACCCTACAATTATTTTTAAAATTATGACTAAAAATTGGTATTCAGAACACCCCTGCCATTTCCTCCAGGCTTAGATCTGTAAGAGTAGCTTTTCATAAGCACAGAATTGGCATGCTGGTGTTTGCAAACAGGAAAATTTCTGTCTTCTATATAGAATATTCTATAAAGAAGTGAGAGTTATATATTTTGTCTTTAACTGTAAAAAGCATTACTACCTAGGCAGTACCTAGACATTCTTGACTTTCAACTGTTCCAGTAGTGTTCTGACTTCAAGCAGGAGTGACTTTATTTTCCAGATCTTGTGGCTGCATATGAACATACCTCAGCTGTAATCTTGGGATTAGGTAAGGTTTGGGATGCAGCTAAAACTTAATTAAAAAGTTTTCATAATCATGTTCATCTCCAAAGAGAAGAGAAAGAGCCTGGATTGGGTATACTATTGTTTAATGAAGTCCAGTTTGTAAATTTAAACTCAAAAGTGACCACCCTGTCTGACCTCAAGTATATAAAAGCCATGGATTTTCACCCAGGAATTTTATCCTTTCACTCAGTAACTCACAGTTGAGTTGATTTGATCTTTTACAAAAACATGCAGTCTCTATTGAAAGCGATGAGGAGTTTATCCCTCCTCACCAGCAGCCTTACAGGTAATATTGCATACAAGCGGTTGACACTTCTCAGGTTACTCAGTCACTGACAGGAAAATCCATTTAAGAAACAAATCTATCCTGAACAAACAGGCCTTTAATCTCTTGCATTATGGTCATCGAAGGCAATTTTATTTTGGGATCCTAAGGAGAAAAGGCTTCTATAATTGTACTGCCTGCCTATGAATGTGTTTAATGACTTATTAACCCATTAGCCAGCCATGGGATAACAATCTCAAATAAATATGTTTTCCAGAAATAAGTAGCTAGAAAAAAAGTCTACTAGTGTCCTAGTAGACTTAAATATTAGACACTGGAAAATCTGCATAGGAAAAAAACACTATAAATATTCCTACAAAAGTAAAGCTCCAGGTAAAGACTGCAATTTCATAGGTACCACAGAGCTGCTAACCCACAAAATCTGTCAATGAGAGTGTCTGACCCATTCCTCTGAAGGATCTAGGAATATAGATCACCATCAGAGGATGCTGAGGACCACAGCTCACCTTAGCTGAGTCCTTTTGTCACTGAGCTTTTGGTCAGGTTGTCTTTGCTTTGCTTCCAGTTCTGTGAATCTGCCCTTCTTTTGCTTTTTTATTTCCCCCAGTTCTCTAAAAAAAAAAAAACAAACCTTCCTAATTCAGTAAATGGAAACATCCTCCTGAACAAAATATTATTTTCTGCATTTTTTTTCAGTGTAGAAAAATGAAAACCTGTAAGCTTGATTTAGTTTCAACTGGTTTTTGGCTTCATGGCTCAGCTGCTGGCCAAACACTAACCATTAGTTGCATAGCTGTATCTCATTGAAAGTACATTCTCACTTCCCCCGTGAAGTTGAACACTGAACAAGTGTCAGAGAGAGACAATCCCTCTGAAAGAGCTGTAAATAGTAAGAAAAATTAATCATGCATGGAACTGGCAGCATAGAGAAGTAAATGTATGAAAAGCCACTTATGGAAGAACAGGAGCAAGGAGAGGGTCTTCTGAGACCAGCTGCACTTAATCTCTCTGTAACTGGCACACTTAGTAGAAATACTGTTGGGTTCATTCTGTAAGAGTTTACTTCAACTAAACCAAACACCACATAGCTCCAAACAGTAGAGTTCATTCTGCCGTAGCAGGAACCCATTTGGAAGATGCAAAGCCAAATGATCTAACTTCAGTTGTATGGAAATCAAACAGTAAGTGAAATTGTGCTGTTTATGGAGAAAAAAGGTATACAGAATTATTGAGATTTTAGCAAGACAGTAACTATCAAAAGGATTCTTGAGTAAATAATAATTCAGGAAAGACTCTTCCCCATTTATTCATGCCTAGTGAGAAGAACTAAACCTACTGAGATGGAGTTGCCATTGCCTCCCCTCCTCACTCCATGGCAAACCAAGACCCATATATATAAAGGAAATTTAAAATAATGCTCTCTTCATGTGAGGTGATATATTCTGTAAGCCTATATCTAAGGTCTGAGATTTTAATGGGTAATCAGCCAGCTTGAGACATTCCCTCGAGGTGCCTGCATATTTTGATTACAGAAAAACTCAATACTACTGCTCAGGCTGAGATCTCTGAGCCTAGTACCTTATAATATTAGACATATATTTTGTATTAATTTATACCTTGGGGAATTATGGCACATTAGTTTCCAACTTGAAGAAATCACATGTCTCTTTAAATTGACATCAGGTGAGGCTCCTACAGACACATAATAAAAGCTTCCTCACATACATGTATAAGAAAAGGTCCCTCTCTGGGACCAAATGGAGATGAAAATGGCCACTTAGAAGCCTT